GTCCAACTTTGGCTCAGGTCATGACTTGGCAGTTCGTGGGTTCAAGCCCTGCATCAGGCTCTGTGCTGACAGCTCAGAGCCTGGAGCCTGCTTTGGATTCTGTGTCTCCTTCTCTCTGCCCCTCCTCCACTCACACTCTGTCTCTGTCTCCTTCTGAAAAGTAAATAAACATTAAAAAAGTTTAAAAAATTCTCATTCTTATATTTTTTGAAGAGTAATTATGAAAGTCTATATAAATATATACATATTTATTTCTATGTTGTATTAAGATTTTAAAAATTTCAGATAATTGTTTCCCAAACTTGGAACTTAAATTGACTTTTATGTGTGTCATTCTGGGGGAAAATTTTATTCTGTGCATATGAGATGCCAGCTGAAAATTATTTTCCCTTTTAAGTATTGGAACCTTGTCTGCAAAATGGTAATTAGAATTTTGCCAAATCTTACTTTTCCTTGGGAATTTGCTTAGTGGTTGTCAATCAAGTAAAAATAGTTGACTTTTGAGACTTCATTGTTGTCCTTGTCCGAGGAAATTTTTACTCAGCCTTTATTGTAGGCTAGAGCAGCCAAAGCAGCCTTGTCAGGCCTTCACATGGCATCATTTTTCCTTCCTAAATCCAATATCAATAAAAGCAGAAAGTTTAAACTGTATATGAAAACAGTGTAATGAGCAAGTGCTCTTGGCTATTGTTGAATCTTTGAGCTATCTCTTCAAATCCCATAAATCTCATGATAACAGATCTCCTAGTTCAGTCCGTATTTCCTGACCATATCAGTGTGATGTGTAGAGAAAAGCAGACACATTTCCCATAACTGCACTTAATAATATATAGTACTGGAATAAAAAAGAAAGACAGTTGCCCTTTAAATTTTTTTTTTTTTTTTTTTGAGTATATAACAGTAATCCACTCTGGATTGAAAGGATTTAAAATACTCCTTCCTTGGAATGGTGAATATCAGTATTTTGGGTCTTAAGGCAAACCTGTGAAGTACATAGCCTGGCTAGCCTTATTTTTGTCATGCACGATTTATAGCCCGATGCACGGTATTTTCTCATTCGCATTTTTTGTGTGTCTCAAAACATATTGAGGACCTACTTTATGTCAGGCACTCTGGCAAGTGAGGGTTTAAAGATGAGTGACACATGCTTCCTGTGGTCAGTATTTTCAAAATTAGACTGACGAATCAGACTGTTGAAAACATGGTATGAGATCTTGCGTGCTGGCCTACTCCTGACGGAAGCACAGGCAGGACACAGAAGTCCTTCTGGAAGGACTTTCTGTAGGTAATGCCCAAGGAGACTCCATTACAGTACACTGTCAAGTAGTAACCAGCTGTCAGATTCTTTAGCATTAATTCAAGTAAATGCATATATTTTTGTGAGGGTGTTTAGTTTGCAAGCATTTTCTCCTGAATGGACGGGAAGGCTTTGCTTTTGGCAAAAGTAGTGGCTCTTTACTTTGTGTGATCCTTTCTGACAGCCTGTGGTGGACCTCTCCCCTGCAAAACATGTGACTGAGCGCATAAACTCCTATGTATGTTTTATAGACAGCTTTTAGGAAATCGCAGGCTTGAAGCCTCCTTAAAGTTGACTGCTGGATCCCAGCTTCAGAATGGAAGGGCTAAAGATCTTTGGGGAATCGTGGTGTAGGGAGTCCCGACCTTGGATTGCCTATTCTGACCATACATTCTTTTATAAGATATGTTTACTCTACCTACTACAATAAAAGCTACTTGCCTTCCTTGGTCTTCGATTTAAAAAAATAAAAATGTAGTACAATGAATGCAAATAGCCTTCAGAAGAAAAACAATACCTGTGGTTTTCCATGTAGTTTAAAAATTGTTCTTGACATTTTATGTTGGCCTATTGGTTAGCTCCAAACCCATTTTTGACCATAGGAATCCAAGCAGAATTCCAAACAGATAGTAAATATTCCAATTGCACTTGAGCATTTCCCTAGTATTATGATCTATAACCAGTTTCCTGTATTCCTTTCAGTTCTGATAGCCCCAACCTCAAATCACTGTACTAAATGGGGCTAATGAGTAGTAATTCATACTTTTCAAACTATTTCTCATTTTTGTGATGCAAAACAAATAGAAAATACCATAAAGAAAGAAAAGTAAAAAACCCCAAAGTGGATTTGAGAATTAGAAATATCTTGGAGCCTGAATAACAAATACATACTAGATTATAATGCAAATTCTAAATCCATGTAATATAAGGGGTTGTGGTCCAGTTTGCTACACCAATGCATAAGTAAAGTATTCTAGCATGGAGAAATAAGACACTCAGATTTATGTAGAAGATGGATTAAGGAAACCTTCAGATGTGTGCAATACAAAGAAAGAAATTGTGCGTTTTAAACTGTGTGATGGGTTGTAATTTTAAGATGGCTGCTTTTTCTTTTTTTGTTAATGTTGATAGTATCAACATTTAAAGATATATATGGCCTGCAGTGTATATCAAGTCTGCACAGAAATGAATTGGCTCTGTCGTTCACTACTGCTTGTTCTCAAAGAAATATTTGGTTTTCTCCTGAAGCGGTTCATGGTGTATTCAGACCTGCCACACCATTCTGAAGCTTTGAGTTCAGGAAAAATAACACTAAATTAAAAAAAAAAAAAAATGGGTTTATGTTTTCCAGAATGGTTTTGTTTCCTCTTAAGAATCATCTGGCCTTGTGCCTTTTCTTCTCCCCAGAAGTAATGTTTTTGCTCCTGTGAAGTGTTATATCTTTGGACTGCGGATCTGTTTTTGATATAATCCATCCATCAAGACATGAATCCTATTGCATGTGAAAAGTCGTTACAAGAAAATAAAAATCTAAAACACATTTGAGTTTTATTTTACTCATACTACTTTTATTATATAAATGGGGTACTGACAAACTACGTTTTGTTTGGTTGAGTGCCTCAGTGTTCAAGTTAACAAGCTGATTCAGAGAGGAGTTTATTCTTGAGAAAAAAAAAATGATGCTAGTCAAGATGATGGCAATGACAATTATTTGCAGTAATGGCAACTTGTTAAAAAGGTAGGATCTGAGCCTCTCCAGACCTCCTAACTCAGAGCTTCCATTTTAACCAGATCTGCTGTGATTCCTATTCGAATTAATGTTAGAGTAACACTATTTTAGTGTCTCTAGTTGCTGTAAGAAAGGAAGAGCCAGGCTGAGAGTCACTGCCAGTCCGTGCCCTCAACTACTTGTATCGTAAATACATACGATGGAAGATGTAAATAACTAGCAAACTTTAATTTACCTTAAAGTGTAAAATCTTGGGGGGAAAAGGTGCAAAATTTATTTTTTATGAAAACTAGCCAGTTTTTTATGTAATTGCAATTTTTTTTTTTATTTAGGCAGGTCATCTATTTCTTGAGATGTCTGGGTTTAGGGGAGTGGAGCATCAGCGGTTTCTTCCACATGCGTATGAAGCCGATTAGAATCTGGATTCAATTTCAGGCATCAAGACCAGCCTCTTAGCCAGTGCTATAAACTGTTCTACAGACCTTTCATTACTTTGTCTCTACAATAGTGAAAGATAGTAAGCATTTCCCTACTTCATGCTTTTCCATTGACAGTAGGGCACAAGAGAGGGGTTGATGAGACGATTCAAATTTTAGTGAATATTTTTCCGCATGTTGAGGTGATAACCTTCCTTAAACTAATTTCTATCTTCTCCCTCTCTAGATTTACACATAAATCTAACCCCTTCTTATATCATTTTGCATGAGGGAACTAAACTGGGTGAATAATTCTACATAATAAACTTTTGACCAAAGCCTAAAGTATTGTATTGCTTTCGGCATTGAAATGTAAATTGTATAAATTAACTAACTTTATTAACTAGTTTTTTATAGTGAAAATTCGTAAGTATTAAGTTTTAAATCTACTAAAAGACAGTGATTGGAAAAGTATGGAGGATTTTTTTCACTTCCTAAAGTTCTAATGTGTTTTCCCCCTTTCCCATTTGGTTTTGCAAAAGAAACATTTGAAGTAAATTTTAGAAAAGAAAATTTGTAAGCCTGTATCAAGAAACAATATCCCACAACTTCCAGGGCATTTGTCAATGTTTTAATCTCATGATTATTCTCTAAATTTGCTGTGTTTCTTAAAGTTATTATATTTTGACATCTGGCAGCACTAAGAGATTGATTAGTTTAGCTTTGGACTCAAATATACAAAGAGGGCATTTTTTGTTGATGTATATTTCTGACTTTAAAAGAGAAATTCATATACTGATTTTAAAGAAATTATCTCATTTTTTCCCACAATGGTTTGTAGAGCTTTATTTTATTAAGCAGTATAAAAGACTAGATATAAAAGATAGTGTGTTTTCAGGATTTGGGTCAATGATTTTGAAGCTCCTGAAAATTTGGACAATGTTTTATTTAATATGAAAGATCAAAGGTGTAGCACCTAGTCATTGACTAAGTCAGTGAAGTGACTTAGTCACTTCAACTAACATTGACTAAGCCAATGAACTGACTTCAGTATTTATTTATACATTTCACAGAAACTCAGAGGCAATGCCATATTTAGGGAAAGTGTATCATAATTGCATACAAGTGTGATGAGTAAGGTGCTGTGACAGTAAAATATTTAGTTACTACTATCTCTCCTGCTACCTGGCTGTGAAGACCTGCTTTTGGTCACAGGCATCCACTGCAAATTCAAACACACTTTCATTTATTTGCAAATGAGCCATGAGTGCTGAACTCTTTCCTAAGATCCCCCATAAATTAGTGACCATTTCGTTCAGAGAAATGACTTACTCCCTCCCCTCCCTCAAACATTAAAGTAAGGAAATGTGGGTCATATCCTTTTATAAGTGGCTCATATTATACTATTGCAGGTTCAATATTCTATTCAGTTATAAGTACTTTCTGAAATATCTATCTGAACCACATTTCCATAATTTTCTCAAAATTTTCTGATTAGCTTTGTTTGCATTGACTTTGCTGTGAAGTATTTCATTTTAATTGAACTTTTCTTTTTTAGCTGTGTTTTGGGGTGATATTGCCTTAGATGATGAAGACTTAAGTATCTTTCAAATTGATAGGACAATTGACCTTACACAGAATCCCTTTGGACTTGGACATACCACAGGTATGGTTGATTATTTGATTGAATTTGTGTTCATTTTGCAGAAAAGATACTTTTGAAATGCTAAAAGTACTCTTTCAATCACTTTTCATGTCCTGCTGATCAACTTCCATTTCTTAAACATAAATGAGCCTATTTGCAAATTTATATTTTGTTAATAGTTTTAATTTTATTAATTTAACAAACCTTTTGTAATGTTTACCATGTCTCAGGCCTGATTTAAGTGCTTTTCAGATATTAACCTTTTGAATCTGCATAATAACCCTATGAGGGGTGGCTATACTAATATTTTTACAAGTGAGGAGATCAAATTAACTGTATTTCTTATTTTCTTCTTTCAAACTGTATTGTTTTTCCCATAATATATACTTAGTTTGTTTTTAGAATATGTGAGAAATAACCACTTATTTTATCAATTTCTTTTTTTTTCTATTTTAATGAACTGACTACACAGAATTTTTTGCAATTTCGATTTCTATAAAAATTTTTAAAAATTGCTAAATATGAGGAACATCATTGCTGTTAGTAGTCTTGAGGCATTGTTTTTGTAAAGTTTTATAATTACTCTTATCCTTATAATTTTATAACTAAGGACACTTTTTTTTCCTCATAATTAAACTTCTTCTAAACCTATTTATATGTGTTTCAGGCCTGTCTAATATGAAGTTATAATTGTTACAAAATCATCATTTCAAACATATAAATTCCATTCTTCAAAAATGTTTCTTATAACTACTTAGGAATGAATACATTCAAATATTACCTCATCTTTCTAGAATGTTCAATGAAAAAATTTCAAAAATTTTTCTCAAGTAGCACAGCAAAAATGTGACTGTGTAATGCAAATAATCAAGCAGATTATTAGTCAGTGAACAAGCACTCTAACTTATTTGCCTTATAAGGACTTAATTGATTTTTTCCTCCAAGAGGCTTATATAATGTAATGGTTTTTGTTATTCTTTTTGTTTTTATTAGCTTTAATCTAGGTAAATAAGTTTTGGTATTAATTTCAATGGGGGAAAAGGTATTGGAAAGAAATAGTTCAAGGTCCAAGAACAGTTGGTTGTCTTTATGGGTTTCTGGCCCTTTCATCGTCTTAGCCTAAAGAGACTCATGAACCATACTCTGGTGATATGAATTCATCTGCACTTGTTCAGATATCATTAGTGGTTATATTGTTTGCTCAGTGCTGACTTTTTGTTATTTGTGTATTGAAAATTAAACAAAAAAGGAAAATAGGAGATAAAATTAGGAGAGCATTTTAGTAAAGCCCTGGAATGAGAATCATAGGACTTGGGTTTTCCTTAAATGCTCTGGTTTCTGACTTGATGACAGGAAATCTACCTTTTCTAGCCTTTTTCTAGTTGGTAAAACTGTGAAAGGACATATTTCCTTATCCTGACCTCTTCTTCAACCTTTTGGGCTATAAAATTCTTTACATCTATTTTTATAAGTGTTGCCAATTACATAGCATAACGGAATGCATTTTGCTGCTGAACATCCTTTTGGATTCCTGTGACATTTTTCTAATTATGTGTTACTGTTTTTTATAAATTATCAAAACTAATTTTATAAATTATCAAAACTAATTATCAAAACTAGTTTTATGTGAACATATTATAAAGTATAACATGCTTTTAAATTATGTGTTTATGTAATTATGTAATTATGTGTTACTGTTTTTTTATAAATTATCAAAACTAATTTTATAAATTATCAAAACTAATTATCAAAACTAGTTTTATGTGAACATATTATAAAAGTATAACATGCTTTTAAATTATGTGTTTTAGCTAATTATGTAATGTACATGATTACGTTTTTTTTATAAATTATCACTAATTTTATAAATTATCAAAACTAATTATCAAAACTAGTTTTATGTGAACATATTATAAAGTATAACATGCTTTTAAAAATGTTTTCAAAATTGATCACAGCCTTGGAGCAAGACTTGCACTATACATTTGCTTTTCTAATGTTTTTATTTCCAATGGCTGATTTGACTTCTGAAAATATTCAGTTTACATTGGAGACATAGCTGGAATGCAGTCAACAGGGCAGAACAGCTTGCTGTCATCCTATATAACACTATGTGATGTCAAGGTCACAGTGAAGAAAAATGTTCTGAATTATCAATAGATGACTCAATTGCCATGATGTCCAAATAAAGTCATTTAGATTGCTCTCTGGATCACCCTCACCCCCTTGATTTCAGCTACCAAAATTGTGTTTGTAGAATGTTTACACTCTCCTAAGATTTATGGGTATTCATGACTCTAACACTCTAAGACCCCATGAAAAAAAAGATGTCCAAAGAGAAACCAATGTAGCCTGTTGCTATGGTTTATTTGCAAGAGTTTTAAAATACAATGAGTTTAACTTAACTGTTTTCTTTTATTCTTAAGGTGGATTTGGAGACCATAGTATGTCAAAGAAACGAGGGGCTCTCTACCAGCTTATAGAGAGGATAAGAAGAATTGGCTCTGGTATATCAATGTTTAAAGTTGCAGACGCTTGACTTGATGTACAGTAAATATTATACTAGTAGCAGTTCAGTTTGCCATTAATATGCAAAGCATGTAAAGGATATAGGCTGAGAAAAAGTCCTGTATCATTTTTGTTAGCTGATGTTTAATGTAAGTTTCTTAGAACTTAAGTTGGAACTTAAATTTAATGAATAGAACGTGAAGTTGAAATGTTTTTTTAACTTATTTTCAGCTTCTCCTTATTATAAGATGTATTTGGGGGTTATTTTACGGTTGATATTTATTTTCGGTGCAATGGTTATCACACTAAGGTGTTTTTATCAAGCATGGAACTACATCAGTTTTAATCAAATCAAAAAATGTTTAATCTGACAAAAAATGTTTGTTTTGAAGTAAAGTTCACTTAAAGTAAATTGAGAAACTGATTTGTTAGATTAAGAAAATAGTTGAGAATGTTTGATCCTTCCAAAAACATACATAGAAAAACAGCCTTCTGGTCTCATAATTAGTTAATACTTCTAGTATTGAATTTGTTAAACACTGTTTGTATATTTTAGAGTTTTTAGAAGAGTTTTCTGTTCAAAGTTTACATCCTAATGTTTTTTTAAATTGATGAATTGTTAATTAAATAATTGATAGTACACACTTCCAAGCAATAATTTTCCCAAGCAAACTAGACCTGTTAGGGACACGGGAATAGGGGCATACTTTCACTGTTGTGTCTGAAGTATAAACCAGTGGGTTATTTGTGTCAATGGTAGTAGATGAATAAGAATGAATAATAATGAAGATTTAGGAAAAACAAACACAGTAACAAAAATATGTTGGGGCACCCGGGTGGCTCAGTCGGTTAAGCGTCCGACTTCAGCTCAAGTCATGATCTCACAGTTTGTGAGTTTGAGCCCCATGTCGGGCTCTCTGCTGACAGCTCAGAGCCTGGAGCCTGCTTCAGATTCTGTGTTTCCCTCTCTTTATTTCCCTTCCCCACTCATGCTCTGTCTCTCCCTCTCTCTCTCAAAAATAAACAAACATAAAAAAAAATTTTTTTTTAAATATTTTGAAAGGCCACCAAGAAAATTAATGACTACAGACTCAAAAGCTTCTCTAGGAGTAGGCTGCATTTTATGTTGGCTTGTTCACGTTGTGTACTGATCTCTAAATAATGCTAGGTCACCTGGATGTGAATCCAGAGGAAATTTGAACAGAGATCTACTGGCATTCCAGGAGGCCGAGACCATACCTAGCTCAACATTATTTCATTTACCCTCTCTGTAATGCAATCTTCATAATTTTAGGCCATACGATAGAATATCAGTCCCGATTTAAAAGAATGAAGGATTTAGCAAGAGTTAAGAGGAGTTTCGAATATCTTGTGACTTTTTAAACAACATTTATTTTATTGTCTGGTGGTGAATTGGCAGTGCTCTAGTATTAGAATACAGGAAACAGGTTTTTTTTGTGGCCTACAAGTCTGCCTGACTTCTATCTGTTGTAGACTGTTGTATGAGAATTCATTAAAGTTGCTAAGAGAGCATCATTAAGAAATAGGATTTTGGGGCGCCTGGACATGATGGGTTCATGACGACTTCGAGTCACGATCTGGCGGTCCGTGAGTTGGTAGCGTCGAGCTCTGGCTGGATGGTAACCGAGCCTGCCGATGCTGTGTCTCCCTCCTCTCCCTCCCTCATGCTCTGTCTCTGTCCCCCAAAAAATAAATAAACGTTAAAAAAATATTAAAAAAAAAAATAGGAGTTTTGGCGGTAAACGCCAATATGTTAATAGTTCAAGCATGTAAGGTAAATGAATTCTTTAATGCATTGTCCTTTAGGCTATTTACACAAATATGTAAATAACATTTTAACTTCAGATCTTTTAGAGGAAATGATTCCCCTGACAGGACTTCGTTTCACAGAATGTTTAAATTCACTGCAGGCTTGGGTAAAACAACACAGTGAAGGGAAAAGTTATATAAAATTCTCAGGGGCAAAATGAGAAAAATCGTCCAGACTGCTACATCGAGAACAGAAAGAATATGGCCCGAGGTGACCCATTCCTTATG